ACGACTTAGCTATCTCGCAACTACGACTTAGCTATCTCGCAACTACGACTTAGCTATCTCGCAACTACGACTTAGCTATCTCGTAACTACGACTTAGCTATCTCGTAACTACGACTTGGCTATCTCGTAACTACGACTTGGCTCTCGTAACTACGACTTAGCTATCTCGTAACTACGACTTGGCTATCTCGTTATTACGACTTAGCTGTCTTGTAACTACGACTTGGCTATCTCGTTATTACGACTTAGCTGTCTTGTAACTACGACTTGGCTATCTTGTTATTACGACTTAGCTATCTCGCGTAATTGTGACACAATTTAATAAAATTGACTTGATGCTAACTCATAATTATAACTTAGTATCTCATCACATTAAGATGTTTTCTTGCAATTACAACACAACTTTCTTGTAACTACAACTTAGCTATCTTGTAAATATGACTTTGCTATCTTGTAATTACAACTCAGCTACCTCGTAATTACGACTTAGCATCTCAATGATGAGATGCAATCTTGCAATTACAACATAACTTTCTTGTAACTATGACTCAGCCATCTCGTAATTACGACTCAGCTACCTCGTAATTATGACATAGCATCTTGTAATTTTGACATAATTTATTAAAATTATGACTTGATGCTATCTCATTACAACATAGCTTTCTAGTAATTACAATTTAGCAACCTCAATATTGTGAAACTGAGATAGGACCTCATAGCATTTAACAATAATGACACAGCGAAGTCGTAAAAATGAGATTCAATTTTTTTCATTTGATTGACAGAAATGCTTCCTCAACAGGCTGCCACTGTTCGAGACTCAAAATTGTGAGAAAAATCAACAAATTTTCTGCCGCCGTCTCTCCAAATCCTGAGAAATCACAACCAGCGAGTCACGTGGCCTCATTTTACGCCACAGATTTTTGAAACTCAAACCCTTTTTTGTGAGWATCGATGGCTTGCACAACTGTATTCTAGGTCGTGAACATTATTTTGTTACACAGGTTTAATAATTTAAAAAGTTACTCTTTTCGTCCACTTCAGCTGTTTTTGTAGATAAGCAAACCTGTGGGGTTGCTGGCAGCCTGTTTGCTAAGCAATAAAYACATTTTTAAAATTAACTACGGCAGAGTCGGACCACTTAAAAAAAAAGGTTTATCTCGCGAATGTTGTTGGCCAACCAGTGGAAGCCCAGTGAGACACCTTGAGATGTGGTTTTATGAGAACAGYTCGACGAATAGGAGTCCTGCGGCTGCAGCTTTGACGCCGGATCCACGAGGCCGACGAGTAAAAACCACCTGGAGGCTCCGAACCGCGCAGCTTCTTCACAGTTTCCATCCCATCAGAAAAGGTAAGGTACATGAAGAAAGGCACCTCGACACTGTTTTCATGTGTGAAGACAAACAAAGACTGGACTATTAAAGTGGCAGGAACAAAAACAATGAAAAGGTTCGGTCGTTCCGTTAAGCAGCAGGCAGAGTCTGTTTGTTCCGGTCCGTCTTAAAGTCTCTTTCCGAAGCAGAAACCAGTTCTTCTTCAAGGACTTTGAAGCATCCCTGGTGTCCAAACTGTCAGGTTTTTACAGTATTTACAAAGAAAATAAAAAAATATTCAAATAATTAGTCCTGAAAGCATGGGATGGGTGGATTTGACAGTTTTTAAACATTTTTAACTCAAATTTTTTGTTGYTTGGATGCAAAGGAGTAAAGGAGGTGAAATCTGGTTCCATCATCTTCGCAACCCTCAAATAAAAACCTTTTATTTTGGCGCTAAAACATATAAATAAATCAAACAAACAGTCGGGAGGCAGCTGGTTGTGGGCCACGAGTTCCTGAGGGGCGTGATATCTGGGACTGGGTTCGGTCGTCTATGTGTGTGTGTCTGTTTGTGTGTTTAAAAGGGTGTGTAGTCTGCAGGGTACATGACGGGGAGCCAGTTCTCGCTGAAGGTGGAGTAGTGAGTCCATCCCAGGTGTTGCATGAGCTGGAACCAGAAGAGAGAGGTTTTCAACAACAGAAGCACAGAGGAGCAGGTTGGCACCGAGCGCTTCACTCTACCTGGATGCAGTTCTTCATGTTCTCTTTGCTCGGCTTCTCCTCCAACATTTTAGAGGCGTATTTTAAGGCTCGGCCAAACATCTTGTTGGCCAGGGCGTGTTTGTACGAAAACATTAAAACCTGAAAAAAAAAAAGAACCTTTAAATGTTTTTCTTACTTTAACACACAGCTTACCTTCACCTTTATTTATTTTTTCAACAAATAATCATCAGAACTTAATTATCAACCTGAAAATCTGGTTTTCATGACTCAGCATTCACAGTTTACCTCTTCAGAGTTTCTTCCAAACTTTCATCAGTTTAAACTATTTATTCATCAAAATGTTCAGTTAATTCAACAGATGATTGCCATGACGTTAGCTTTTGTAACTTTTACTTTTTAAYACATATAAGGTTTTATTTAAATAAACAGGGATCAGAATTGTAGAACAAGTTAGGTTTTAAGTTTTAGTATTGCAAATTTTAGCTATTAGCTACTGCTGTACCAATTTTAGCCTTTAGATATGRTTTTGCTAATCTTAGGTTTTAGGCACTGTTTGGCTGTTTTATTTTTATTTCAGCTTCTGTTTTGATGGTTTTACACAGTTTTGSTAATTATATCATGTAGCTGTTTGTTTTAGCTTTTAGCTACTSTACAGTATAAGCCACATTTAGGCTAATTCACCTTTTAGCAGAAGGTTTTAGCTTTTAGCTACTGCTTTGCTGTTAGCCATATTTGGGCAGATTAACATTTTAGCTGATGGTTTTTGAGTTTAGTTACTGTACTGCTGGTTATAGCCACATTTTGACTAATTTTWGCTTTTAGATGCCGTTTTAATTATACCTTTTAGCTACTGTTTTGCCAACTTTTGATTTCAGCTACTGTTTTGATGGTTTTACACAGTTTTGCTAATTTTATCTTGTAGATGTTTGTTTTAGCTTTTAGCTACTGTATTGCTGGTATTAGCCATATTTTGGCTAATTTAATTTTTAGCTGCAGGTTTTTGCATTTAGTTATTTTGTTGTTGGTTTTAGCCASACTTTGGCTAACTTTAGCTTTTAGATGTTTGACTAATTATACCTTTTAGCTACCATTTTGCTGGTTATAAACAGTTTTGCTTTTTTTAAATTTTAGCTGTTAATTTTAGCCTTTAGCTGTTGGTTTTAGCTTTCAGCTGCTGCAATTTTAGCTTTTAGATGCCGTTTTACCAATATTAGGTCTTAGCTATTGCTTTGCTAATTTCAGCTTTTAGCTACTGTTTTGCAGGATTTACGTTTCAGGTTTTGCTAATTTTAGCTTTTAGCTACTGTTTTACTGATTTTAGCTTTTAATTTTATTTTTGCTCACTGTAGCTTCTGTTCTGCTGATTTAAATTTTGGCACTTCAGTTTCAGCTTCTTTAAATTTTCAGCTGTTGTTCAGCTCTCAAGCTTAATCCTGCAGTTTATTTTTTCTAAAATATTCGCTCACCTTGGAGTCAGTTAGCTCCGCCCACTTCTGCACTTCCCAGAACGTGTCCATGAGTGTTTTTGCCACGTTCTGCAGGTCGTCGTCAGAACTCCCGGCCATTTGCTCTCCGGCGTCTTCCACCGATGCTTGCCCCGTGGCGGTGTTGGGGTCCTGCACGTTGGGGGGCAGCAGGAGCTGGTCGGCCAGAGCGCAGCCTCTCCTGCACAGAGCGTCCAGCAGAGACGCCTTCTGCTTCTCCATGTCCCTGAAAGACAGAAAGCTTGTCCTTCAGTCGGCAGCTTCACCCCAACATTAAATAAACATTTCTACATCAGGCTCCGCCTCCGCGTCGCGTACGTCTTGATGGAGGCGGCTTCTGGTCGAGGGTCCGTCTTCATGCTGAGGTAAACGGCGAGGGCGGTTTGATCGATGTGGGAAATGACGATGTCTGCCGCCGACACCACCTCCTTCAGACGCTTCAGACGCTCCTTCACATGAAAAACAAAAACTGTAAAAAAAAAAGATGTTTTTAAAAATTATAATCCAGTTTTTAAGTCTTACCTTCTCTGAGTCCAGCTGGTGCAGTCTTTGAACGTGCAGCGGGAGGTAATCCGAGTGGTTTTCCACCAACTCGTCGTAGATGTTGCTGGAGTCCAACCTGAGGAACCAAGATTAAAAGATTTTTCAAAAAAATGAAAGAAACGTATGGGATAAATCTTGTGCCAGCAGTAACTGAATTTGAATTGCTCAGATTGAATCTGTATGTGCATAATTTGAAATTTAATGCATTGGTTTGAAAATGAATTTTACTAAATTGAAACTGAATGTAAAGTTTTGAATTTGAATTAATTTGCGTTGAAACTGTATTTTGGTTTATTAAAACTTCAGTTTGACTACTTTCACTTTCAGTTCCATAATTCAGATG